AGAACAACTATGAGATTGAACAGCAGTCACTAAAAGATGGAAAGAACTGTGAGTGCTTCTAACAAATGTAACTGTTATTTAGCGAGAGCAGCACAACATGGAACCAACACACAAGCACCGGAAACGGAAATAAGTCAACACACTTACCGCAGTACATCAGCAGTACTTATAGCGTTTCTGTGTTACAGTTTTTGTTAACATACAAAATACAGATTTTGGCCCATAGTGTTAAAAAATTCTACACAAAAGCAGAGACGTTTTATTTATAAAATAGTATATAGTAAATATACAGGCCTCTGCATGTGAATAGTTCTATGAATCACGCCTTCTATTAGAGTCGGCCAAAGCACCTCCTCCACAACATAAGTGATGTGCTCCCTGCTAAATACTAAAAATAAAAATATTGTCTTGCATGCCTTATCACTGGATTGAAAATGGCCAGTTCCTGTTTATAGGTCCATGATGCAGAAACATAAGCGAAGGAGTTAGGCACTCTATATGTTGTCTAGCAGTTCTGTAGAAAATGCAAGAATTATGTCATTGGTTAGGTTCTTTTTTTACTTACAGTAGGCTACTGTCATACTGTACACATCGTATAACACATAGGCCGCACCATACCAATTTATTTTGTTCACCGAGCAGCATAGACATAATACTATATTCTAGGACTACATTGTACTGTACAGTGATGCAGAATGATGAGCAGCAATTATAGGTACTGCACAGTCTAGTACAGAAAGATGAAGACATACCCGTTCTCTTGTCTAAATATTATATTATGCCTGCTGTGTAGCGACTACGGTGGGGCTGTACTCTCTGCTCAGTCAGGCCATGATTGATGGCATGGTCCACCAAAGTGGCCCTAATTTCATCAGAAATATGTCTATGTAAATTGCCTGGTGCCCTTCTTTGTTGTCATTTTTGTCCTCCTCTTGCTCTTTCTACCTGCATGTTTGCAAATTTCTCACAAAAGAGCTGAGCTTACCAGAGGTCTATTTGTGGCGCTACAGCTGTGACTATTTGGTTTTCAATTACTGTTGTGTGTGGGAGGGTTTCGAGTGGAAGTGTTTTCCCAATGATTGCAATAGTTTTAATTCTTGAAGAAAGTGTTTAATGTAAGAAACTGTGTGGTGTTCTGCACCATGTGTGTTGAGGAATTCATCTCAAAGTGCAAAGCTGAAAATGCGTGTATACATTTGGTGTTGTGTGTAACGCATGGTTGCAAAATGTAAGGTTTTCCCACTTTGGTCCAAGTCACGTTGAACATTACGTTGCGGTAGTTTCGTTTCTATGAAGGCCAGCTACACTGAGGGGGAACTATCTGCAAAGGGAAACGGAGGACAGCGGGCCAAAAGCATGTTGAGTAGAGTCGAGCCGAGGCGAGTTGGTACCAGCATTGAAAAAGCGACATAGCAGTTTTTTTTCTGATTATTTAGGCACAATTTTTGTAACTATTGACTAATTTTGCAATTTTAACACACTAATCACAAAACCTTAAACCAAAACAGCAAAACATTATACATCTCTTGGAAAAGCAAACCAAGCAAAACTCTTCAAACTCTTTTAAAACTTCTTTTTACATCAGTCCAGTACACACAAACGTCTTTGAGTAAGCACACGAGGCAGCAACTATGCACTGATAGTAAATGTAAAACACTTTTTGCAATAAGGGTTTGTCATGCATGTAGCACAGTAAAACTCACATACAAACAGGTGCCCAAATATGTAAAGTATGGATGTGTATCCTTTAGTAGTTTTATACAATCTGAGTCTCTTTCGGATGGGACTCGATTCAGCTGCTTCATCCAGTGCAGAGAGACTGATTCTGTTGATGCTTTGGAACATTGTGTTATCAGCCATTATATGGTTCTGTAGTTCTGGGTGTGATGCAGTTATTTGTGTAGTGAACAATCAGTGGAAGGAGATGACGCCTGTTCTTATTACAGATCTGGCTTCATTCAAAGACTGAGCCTTTCCCACGTACACAGGAAGGGCACAGCCTTTCATGTGAGATAAGGACCCCTGCATAAAGTCAAGCAGAAATACCAAACTTAAAATGTTTATTCTATTATTGCTGTAAAGGTGCCACTTGCCAACACTTTCCGGGAGGACAAAAAGGTCAAGCAACCACGTTAACCCGGCCTTACTCCTGCAGTCCTGCATCCACCAAAGGCTGAGTGGTCAGAAGCCATGAAAGTGAGACTTCAACACACACACACACACTGCTCATTCCTTTATTTATTTATTAACGGATAAGATAAACAGACATTTAAACTGCCTGGCTGGAGAAAAACACATAACCTCAAATTTGTTTTATGAACAGAGAATGCCTACTCACACACACATATACACATTATACATATATATACACATTATATATATATATATATATATATATATATATATATATATGTATATATATATATATATATATATATATATATATATATATATATATATATATGTGTGTGTGTGTGTGTGTTTTATTTACTTCGTTTAGTTAAATAGTCTTTGTTAAGTCAGGTAGGGGCCCTCTCCTCTTCAATTTTGACTAGATTATTTACCCTGTTTACCTGTTTAGAAACTATGTTGAAAGCTAAAGAATCATAGGAAAGTTAATTTGAAGAGCTCTTTACTTCATGTCCTTGTGCTCATTTATCTATTACTGTCCGTGTTTTATTGTTTAAACTGATGCCGTGCTTCAACTACCTTTTATGTATTTTCTTATTGAGAACGTTTAACAATCAATATTGTCTTGAAAGTTATTTAGTTAGGCTGTTCTGTTCATCTGCTATGATTATTATAACAGTTTTTTTTGAATGCTTAAGCATGATTTTGAAAGCAGGGCTTATTTTGTCATAACACTACACACAATTCACAGAACTATTCACACAAGTAGCAGAAAACCTCAGGTAGTTTGCAAAATGAAACACTTCATTCAAAAATATACAATAATTTATACAAATCCGATTTTGTCACCGTGTGGCACACACATGGTTCAAATGATCTAATTCTGTTTGAACCAGTTAAACACTGCTATGCTCGATCTAAAACACATTTAAAATTCCTACTTTTCAAATGACTACTTTTCAGAGAGTTAGAGTATTGGATATATTGACCAAACATAGCACACACAGTACAGCATACTGATACATGTTTAATTTCAGCAAAACCAAATGTGGAAACAAAAAAGAAAGCATGAAGTACAGTACAAAAAACTAAAAATGTATAATTATCTCTTCGCCTGGCTGGATCTGGCCATAGCACTTCATCCACATCGCAGGCTATGTCCTCTCTCGCAAGACAGCGAGGGAAGTATCGTCTTGAATGGCAAATCCACGCTTGCACAGATGCTGCATCCATTTGGTTGCTGGCATCCTCCATAGCTTGAATGAGGGGCATCCTGATATAGGGCTTGAGGTCATAAACTTTCCACCGCCATGCCGAAATAAAACTCCTCAATAAGATTAAAGAAGGGAGAGTATGGCGGGAGGTATTGGAGTATATATTGTTGATGCTGATGAAACCAGTTTTGGACAAAAGCAGATCGGTGGAAAGATACTTTGTCCCAGAAGATAATGTACCCCATCTGCTCTGCATCCATTTGGTTTTCAGCTGTGATGATGTTGTGCAGTCTGTCTGAACAACATGATTAACGGTCCTGTTGTAAGGACCAAATGTGGCATGGAGGTGGAGGACCCCATTCTGGGAGATGGCAGCACACATGGTGATGTTACCACCACGCTGGCCCGGCCCATTGAGAATAAGTCTATGTCCGGTGATGTTTCTTCCCCTTCTTCTTACTTTAGTCAGGTTAAATCCAGCTTCATCTACGAAGATAAATTCATGCTGGATTGCAACAGCTTCCATTTGCAAAACTCTGAAAGATAGACAATGTGTTGTTCAATGTCGGCCTACTATAGATTTACTTGACAATGGGCTATTTGGGCAGTGTGCATTACAGTACATACTTCCACATGTTCATGCCGCAGGTCTTTTACTATCTCCGAATTTTGTTCAAATGGCACTTTGTAGAGTTGTTTCATCTGTGTGTGATGTTTTTTAAGGATTCCAAATTACTGTTGCAACAGTATTTCTGTTCAAGTTGGGCTGAACTCTCTGTCCAGCCTCTCTGAATGTCAACGCATGGTTTCAACATGGTCAATCAACGTTGCTCTAATATCATTTGAGGTCTCCCTCTTCCTCTTACTGGAACATTACCTTCCAATTTTTTGTGGCTGACAGGTAAACACACCTGTTGCCTTTTTGATTGGTGAGTTTAGAATTGTGCACCTAATTGTCTGCACACCTGATGGCAATGTTTGATCAATTAGTTCACAGGTGTGGCATTTTAGACAGTAATGTCTTAACATCACAAAGATGAGACATTGAGTTAGATTTTTGTGTCTAATGTAGCCTGTGTGTGTTAAGTATTTTGCAAAAGGTGTGAGGCCGAGAATGTGCTTATAATTGGGCAGATCTGGGCTGTAGTTTTGCTCCCTGAGTCTAAGGTTTCACTGACAATGTGTTATATAACATTTTAGTGTGTAAGCAATTGTACAAAACTGTAATTGTATTTAACTGTAACCGTTCTAAGCATTTTGGATGATTAACTACGATACTTTCTTTCCTTTATCTAATGCTTAAGAATTTAATAATGGTATAATTTACAGTTTTTCCAATTGCTAACACACAATTTTGCAAACTAGTCTGGTTTTATCAAAATACTTAACACAATTCACAAAACCACACACCCAACACAAAAAATACCTCATATCCTGCAAAATGAAGCACTGCAACCGAAACTACACATAGCATTATCAAAATCAAACTTTTGCATGAAATGGCACACACTTCATTCACATTACCAGATTTTTGCCTAACCAACTACACACTGTTAGGCATAATGAAAAGCACCCCCATCTTTAGTATGCTTTGCCATAATACTAAAATATGTATCAGATTGTTCACATGCACAGAAATATTTGCAGAAACACACATGCTGTTGAAACTTTATTTTATTTTTCACTACAGTAAACAAGTCAGTGCAACATATGCACAGCAGAAATATTTACATGGGACTGAACAAAAGTATTCTTACAAAAACAGTAAACTGAAAAAGAAAATTTCAGAAAAAATATATTACAGTAAAAAAAAAAAAAAAAAAAAAAAAGGCAAGAAAAATTAGGCAGCATCTTCTCGCACAGGCAATAGGCAACATCACAGGCAATATCTTCCCTTGCCAGACATCGAGGGAAGAAGCGCCTTGAGTGCCTTATCCATCCCTGAATTGCACCCACATCAATCTCATCACATTCCCTGAAAACAAAGATCAGTCAATAGTGTTATCCAGTACACTGGGAAACAATGTTGCGTGTAGTCTACTGCAGTCAATATAGTACTTACATCCAAATATGCTCGTCTGACCTCTTTGTTTCTTTGAGTTTCTCTCAAACGGCACCTTAAAGTTGTTTCATTCTGATTTTGTTTCGCTTGAGAATGTGAGCCAATGTGGACAGACTGACTCGTTGAATGTTGTTGAATGTTGTTGAATAAGATGTTGTCTTGGATGATGTGGCTTTGAATTTCTCGTAATCTGATTTCATTATGTTCCAAAACCAAGTTTACAATGCCAGCTTCCTGTACCCCGGTGAACATTTGGCCCCTCCCTCCACCAGGGTGTCATCTCTCAGTCCTTTAGAAAAAAAAAAATAATAATATAGGGCTTGGACAATGCAGCCTAAATAGTTTTCCCCCACAGTAGAGTACATTGTACAGGAAACTTTTACAGTTCATGAATGGCTGATGTCATACACTAAGTAAACAGGTGTCACCCAATGATACACTATGACATGGGGTGTACTACATGAAATTTTGGTTACATACCTGTTTTCCAGTCTAAAGGTCCAGATGACAGAGGAGACAGTAAAACGGCTCAAGTTTGGCTGCACTCTCTGTCCAGCCTCACGCATAGTCAGCCCATGGTTGATGACATGATCAACTAAGGTTGCTCTGATTTAATTTGAAAGCGATTGTCTTCTTTGGCCATGATATCCTCTACCTGCTCTACCCTCTACCTCTCACTCTTCCTCCCTCTCTTATTCTCAACCTCCCTCTTCCTCTCTCTGCAACATCTTCCATTGTTGTTGTAAAAAAAAAAAAGTGCTTTTCATAGTGCTTACATCCTGATTGAAGTGTTAACAATTAACCATTGAGGTGTTTGGCCAGGTGACACATGTAATTGGCCAATTAGCTCATGTAGTGTAATTTTGAATGGTAGGGTTTTGAAAGGGCAAACATGTGACTTTGTCAGATTGTTGTGTCTTATGCAGAGAACCGTGTTCAGTGGCATTTTGAAATGCAAAATGTGTGTAAAGCAGAAAATGTGTTTAGACTTTGAGACTTGAGAAGAAGTGTTGCTCTCTGTGTGTCCGTTTAAATAATCATGCTGTGCATGTCATTTTAGTGTGTTAGCAATTGGAAAAAAACTGTAATCAAGTGTTGATATTGTGGAAAGAGATGATTGGAATACGCGCAAATAGACTTTAAGACATTACTTTCGGGTGGGCTCTCTCTCTTCTCTTGTTAGGGTTTGTCAGGACTGTAGGATGCAAGACTCAGCATACGGAGGCAGAAGTGGTGAGTAACTTTAATTTCAGAAATGCTTAAAAAAAGGTGCAGGGAAGAGGGCAAGGGATCCAAGGGACTGTCCAAGGGCAGGTCCAGTGAGGGGGGAATCCAGATGGAGCAGGAGTGGAGTGACGACGGGAGTCAATACACAAAAAAAAAACAGCGTTAAGCAAGGTTCAGTAACACGGGATCAAAAGACAGAAGGCTAGAAAGGAGACCGGAGCAGTTTTAGACTACAATCTGGAATGGGCCGATGAAATGCTGTAGACCTTGGGGGGGAGGGGGTTTTCAGAGAGCCGTACCTGTTGCCCCGCAGTGTAGGTGGGGGCCAGGTGGCGACGACAGTTGGCCTGCCTCTGCATGGTGCTGGATGCGTGGATCAGGGCTGCCCTAGTCCTCCTCCACACCCTGAAGCAGCGCCACATGTGAGCCTGGATCAAGGGGACTGCGAGTTCCTGTTCTTGAGAGGGAAACAGAGGGGGTTGATAACCAAGAGCACACAGGAAGGGCGACATACCGTAGATGCATTGGTGAGGGTGTTGTGAGTATATTCAACCTAAGGGAGCATGGAACTCCAGGATGCTGGGTGGGATGCAGTGACGCAGCGTAGTGCAGTCTCCATCTCCTGGTTAACGTTCTCCGTCAGGCCATTGGTTTGGGGATGGTACCCGGAGGAAAAGGCTTGAGGAGATGCCAAGAAACCCTATTACTTCTGTTCTGTCTCCCATTGGTTGCATTCTGGTGGATGTTTTAATCATTGTTTATTTACTTTATATCCATATTTACCCTCACTTGCATTCACTTTAGTTAGTTGACAAATATTTACTTTGATCACGGGAACGTGTTGGTACTGTTTTACAGTTTCTCGATAGCTCTCCACACAAAACCATTCAATCTTGCTCAAAAACCAAACTTCGCCCTCAGACATAATACTCAAGACCCTCAAAAAATAAAAATAATAAAAATCAACCACACACACACACACACACCACAACACAGTCTTACACACTGTTGAGATAAATTCAAAACAAAATGTACAAAAACTGGTTATTAGTAATGTTGCTTTTGGTTATCCCCCTCAAAACTTTCACATGAACACAAAAGAAACAAATGTACATGTGCACATTTTTCATTCCTTAGTGTGCTGTACAGCACAACACACCAAACAACAAACTATTCTGCCCCAGCGTCCTGTCTTTGGTCTGGGACAGGCCAGAGATTCTTATCCAACGAAGGTTAAAATCAAGGGCAACTGGATAACGTTGGATAACGTTGGATAACTATGACCTGGATGACTGAGAATCTTCATAGACATCTCGCCAGAGATTCTTGTTCTCCACTTCCTTCTCTGCCCTACTCCTGCTCTGCCTCCTCCACCTCCTCATCCTCCTATCTCATCTCCTCCTCCAACTCTTACTGTTCCTCTTCCTTCATCTCTTACTCCTCTCCATAATGCTCGTCCTCCCCCCTCTTACTCATCCTCCTCTCTGTTGTCCTAACTTTCCTTCAGATTTCTCTGGATCCATTGTTCCAAAACTGAATGAACTGACTCTGGCACTTTTATCTGTGAAGCTTCTGATTGGTGCATTATCAATTATGACCGTTTGTGTTTCCATCTGGGTAGCTGTGTGCTAATTGAGCTCAAGCTGTGCTGATTGAGTGAACAATATTGAATGTCAGGTCTTTCTCAGTGACCACATGGTGTAGGCAATGAGAAATGAAGGGATTTGGGTGTAGAGTTTAGAGAAATGGGTGTTCTTCTTGAAAAAAAAAATGGAACTATGGTTTTGAAATTTTAGTTCAAAGGCTTGCTTATAGTGTTTAAGCAATTAAAAAAAACTGTAATTAACCCAGGTCAATGCACTCATCCTCAGAACTGAGAATGATTGCTTAAACTAACTAATTAAAAATAATTGAAAAATTAAGAACTAACTGATCACTAGTAACACTTGTTGTAATTATTAAGCTATACCCAAGGAGTCCTAAAAGCCTTGGGCAGACAGCTATTCTTTTTAGGTGACACCCCCTTTACAAGTGCTTGTGGTAATATTTCCAGGTGTAGGTTCACTACATTTGCAATGACCATATTTACATGTTTACCTGTGGCCTATTTACATGTAGAAAGAAAATACACAGAAGGGAAGGAGACAAAAATGCACAGTCACTTTGCTAATCCCTACGGTCTACAGCATTTGGCAACATGTTCTTACAGACATCAAATCTCTCACTATGCACTTGGATAGAAACACTTGCCCTGGTTCAGCTACTCCTCTCCTTGGCCCCTAACTATTCTTCTCTCCTCTTCTCAACTCCACAAAGTCCCGTTTTTACTACATTGTGTATGAAATTTAAAGAACGTCAACAGCTGTCTATGTCTCTGGTTGAAATTGGAATCAGCTGTGGTTGATTTAGAAATGCTTATTAGCTGTTTCAGTATAGATTTTGAGCTGCTATTGTAGCATAAGTTCCTATGTTTTTATGAAATTTCTGGGTTTCACTTGTGTTCTGGTTGTGTGTTCTTGTTTCCCTGTGTTTAGTCTTTCATGTGTGGGATTTCGTAGTCTAGTTTATTCTTTTGTTCATTTGCATGTTTAAGTTTACTTAGTATCTGTCTGTGTTCTTCGCTTGGGTAGTTTTTGTCAAGGTGTTTTATTTTGTGATTTCATGCCTTGTGTATTATGTGAGATACTTCCTGTTTTAGTTTGTAGTTTTGTCTGCTTCATGTGTCACTGTCTCTCTTTGCTTCCTGTGTTGGCTGTCTCTGATTGTTTTAGTGGATTCACCTGTGTCTCGTTAGTTGCTCCCTCACCTGTTGTATTTAAGTGGTTTGCCCCTTCACTCTGTGCCAGTTCATTGTTTTCATGCCTAGTGTTCTCCATGCCTATGTACGCCAGTGTTTCTCGTGCCTTTGTGGATTTAGTTTGGATTAACTTCCTGTTGGACATCTTGGATTAGGGTTGGAATCTTTACATGTCACACGATCTTTGAAACCTCTCACTCAAAGAGCAAAACTGCACACCAAATTTCCAAAACCATAAGCTATTTCTCAGCCTTTTCCGCACAGTTTTCAATTGCATAAAACACCTTTTTCAAAACACTGCACACTATTTAGAACACAGAAATTTTAACCGGTTGCAACTGCTGTACTGTTACCGCTACTGTATACAACACTGTGCTACTATTACCACAGTAATGTTTTGCCAAATAAATATTTTCTGTTTCAACATTGTATTGGTGTACTTTTCAACCCCTCTCAGCAGATTACTTTCACTCTAGAACATTGTATGGAAATGTAAACATAAACCTATGAAATACAAGAGCTTTAGATTTAGAACAGTGTGATATATCCAATCATTTACTATTATGAAAAAAGTTTTTGCCATTCGACTATATGCAGCAAATATGGTTAGGGTCAGTTTAGTGATCCTGGTCTACTCTGTTCACACTTTGTGTTGTTTTGGCCTTGTCTGCTCTGTGTTCTGTTTGGTCCTAGTTTCAGTCTGTTTTCCCTGTTATGTTTGTAGTCTATCTGTATTATTAGTTTTTTAGTCTGCTCTGTGTTTGGTGCCTTTAATGCTGTTTCAGTCTGTCTCCTGTCTTGTTTGGTTATGATCTGTGCCTGCCTTAGTTCTTGTGTTTTTTCTATTATCTGGTATCTGAATGGAAGCTCTAAGCGGCTTGGTCCACATCCATCCCCCTATGGACTTTTCATTTCCCCACCATTAGGTAGAGGAAATTCCTGAGCTTCTCATTCAGAGATTCAGGGGAATCCATTTAATGTTACACATTTCCTGACAGTTATTTCAGAACCTTTGAAAGAGCTGTCAGGAAATGTGTGAATGGATTCCTCTGAATGTCTTCACAACAGCTTTGTTGAAGAGGATAATAAAAAAAAACACACACAAAAGAAGAAAAAAATATGTTGAGAGGAGGATTGGGAGGGTTACTTTAAAAATGGAATCCGTTACAATTACTAATTACTTGTTAAAAAATGTAACCAGCAACGTAATCCAAGTACCAGAAAATAAGTAATAAGTAAGGTAACCTGATTACTTTTAGTTACTTTTGGATTACTTTAATACCAAATACGCAAATAAAGAAGATGAATGTTTTGTAGGTATTCTTTGATATTTTAGAGTGTCATTTTCTGAAAAACGATTTTAAAATGTTGATGAATCAGCTGCTAAAAAATAGTGTTTCTGGGAGGGCACCACTGCTTAGTGAACAAAAGCACACCTTTATTCACTGATTTTGCTGAAACTGTATCATATTAGATGGAAACTATTATCTGGTCCCTGATGGACAGATAGCTTTACTTGTTGCTGTAGCAAGTCAGCTAACTGCTGCTAACTAGCTGCCATTATCTAATTAGCTCAGTTAGCCTACAGCTACTAATCAAATTAGCTTACTCTGCCCGTACTGGTAACTCGGACCACCTTCGTACTGTCAAACTGGCCTCTGTCGGTCTTGAAAGTCTGTGCTCAGGTCCGGCTGCTGTGTTCATGAGCTGGCATCAGTACAGAGTCTGCAAGACAGCGTGGAGGCGTAACCATATGGCAAGCCATTAGTGCCAAAAAACGTCACTCTGGTAGCATGTTTTGCTAACAAAACGGCGTTTAAAACGGCGTTTTGTGTATAAAAACGCCGCGAAAAACGCCGTTTTCTTTTGGCACGCCGTAAAAAGCGGCGTTTAGTTAACAAAACGCCATTTTAAACGCTGTTTTGTTAACTAAACAAACGGCGTTTTGTAAAATGATAATGAGCTCCGCCCTGTGGATTTTACAGCCACTAAATTTGAACTGTTGTCACCCAATCAGTACAGAAGAAGAACAGACCACACTAATTCAGCACTGATCTACTTTACTGTGATCGTAGCCACTCAAAGGCAGAAAGTAACCACAGACAAGCATGAAAAACTCAACACAAAAGTCCCAGACTGATCAAGTAAATTGACTACATTTACTAAAAATATTTAGCTACTCTAGGTTATAGCTTGTAACATCTATGATTGATGATTTTAGATCAAATTTGACATAAATAATTAATTTGCATTTTATTTATCATCACTGTCAGATTAAAGTATCTCCTAAAATAGAACATACAAACACAAAGAAAGTAAGAAATCACCATAAGTGGAACAACTATCTTTACATGGTCATCAGTGAACAGTTTAAGCCTCATTTGTCTTTTTATGAGCCCTTCAGTCGGTGTAGTATTGATAGCGAGCCTACCCTTGTTTCTACAAAGCTTTGTTTTACCATGTCATCCTAAATCCAGGCCAAAGGCAACCTGACACAAACGTGTGTTTCAGTCGGTTCAGGGAAAACACAGCTTGTCATTTATTCCCTGGCTTTTATTTATTTATCCAAAGCTATCCTTCCGGACTCCTGCGATAATATTTATGTTACCCCAAAACACTACACTATACAAGTTGCTACAAAAACTTATCTTATTCCATATTTATATATTTCCACATTTATTTATGTTGACTGTATGTTTGTCTACATGTAGCACCTTATCACCACAGCAAATTCCTCGTATGTGTAAAACACTACTTGACAATAAAGCTCCTTCTGATCCTGAAAAGGCATCTGCAGGCTATTAAGATACTTGGTTTTAAAAAAACGCTGAATTGCTTTCCTCCGAAATGGACATATTTGAGAAAGGTTACCTGAAGTCTTTGTGAAAGCATACCTTCTGATGATACCTAAGCTAAATAATAAGATGCATGTTTTGAAATCATGTTAATCATCAATAAGCTATCTTTACATTGTGAATAATGTTGGCTGATAATGACAAAATGAAATCGGTTTAATCAGTAAAGGTTGAAATTTATTTTACTGTGTAAACCACACAACATTCAAAATTATTATTATGAACAACCAGGATAAAGAATCTGTCAGACTATTTGTGAGAGACAATTGATTGGAGTCTTGACTACTACTAGATATTTGACTTAATACTTTGAACAATTAGGAATTATGTTAAAACCATTAAAACCAGTAAAAGGTATTTAAAAAATAATGCAAAAATATAATTACGTTACGTTCATTTTAATGAACAACTGTAACCAATATAGCCTAAGTACATCAGTGTGTGTGTGTGCGTCTGCGTGAGGTGCCATCCACGTTGTATCTAGTGGATGGAAGAATTTAAAAGGGAAAATAGGGACAGAATTTTAATAGATTACAAAGTACGTCTTTCACAGTGGTGGAAAAAGTAGTCAGACCTTAGGTAAATGTTCCAACACCAAACTGTAGAGATATTCTGTATGTCAAAAGTCCTACATTCAAATTTTAAGATGAAAAGTAAAGCTAATTCTAACTACTTTATATTTTGCTGTGTGGCTTTATCTGTGAAAATACTCTAGTTTTTGAATATGTTTTTAATTTATAATCTGCAGAGTAACTAGTCACTAAAGCCATCAAAATAAATGTAGTGGAGTAGTACTTCAAAAAGAAGAGTAATTGGGCGCATGTACTTGGGTACTTTTCACAACTGATTTCTATTGACATAGAAGGCAATATTTGTGCAAGAATGTATATGTCTGATAAAATACCTGATTGTTTGGAGGTCATGCAATGTTGGATCCCCAGCTTTTTCCCAGTTCCCCATCTGGCAGAAGTCCTTGAAGATACGTACCTCACACGGTATGGCCTGGAATTGGAGTGAGCGCCAACAAGGTCTTCTCATCTGCATCGTCTTTGTCCTTCTGCTTCGCAGGCTTTGTGTCCCATGAAGCTGCTTCGATGTTTCCAGGCTTGAAAGAACAGTAGGCATCACACTGGTCTTTCTTTAAGTGAAAGGGAGATATATTTAAGTCACAGAAAATGTTTGACAAAACTTACATTGACAGAGGCTGTTTTCAAGAGGGCTCCCACTTCAAAAAACACCACTGCTTTATGCCTAATGTTGACAGGAACAAGCGTTGGCACATTCAGATTCTTCTCCAATCTACTACAGGGTGACAAATAATGGATGCTGACCTTCTGGATTCATCTGCTCCTGTCCGCCGCCGCTTTACAGTGCTCCCCTCCACCACAGACTTCACAATCATTTCTCCAGTCCAAATTCCCCCAGAAATACTTAGAAATCTTGTTCTTATGATGTGTCTTCTGCTTTTCTGCAGTAGAGTTTAGTGAACCTTTAGCAGGTTGCAGACTGGCATGGACATACTTTTCTGGACCTTCACGTTCCAGGTCTCTGGATTTCCCCGTCTTCCAAGACGAGCCTCATCGGTTGAAGAGTCCTCCTCAATTCCTTCTCCTTGTGAATAAGAGAAAACAAAAACAGAAATTCTGTAAATGTTGTCCTCACAGTGTGTCTTAGTGTGGTGTTGTGTCTGTCTGTGCAAAAAGTGTGCTAAACAATAGCAAGCAAACTAGAAAACATTCAGCATTCACTGCATTAACTACATCTTACACACACTTCTACGTGTGCATCAGTATGTTGAAAGGTTTTACTACTTCTCACATTATTGTGATCTGTGATTTGATCTGAGCTACATTTATTTGCGTGAAAAGGTTTTATACAATATGTTTTCAATTGTTTGTATGGTTGTCATTGGTATAAAACCTCCAGAGGGGCCAAGTGTGTGCACATCCAGTCAAAAGTACTCAAGTGAAAGACAAAAAATATCACTGCAGGACACAAAGGACAAATCTCTGCAGTCCAATGGTGTGCAGACATTTTTCCTGAATTATTTTAATGCCTACATTCAGTGAAATTTTTTGAAAAAAGATTTTTATCATAATTGTTTTTTGACGTTCTACCTGAGATCTGTTAAGTGACCACTGTTTTGCAGGCTCTTGTCATGTACTGACCATAAATAAAAGTTTAAAACCAAAATAAACTATATGTTTTTTTTCAACTTTCAAATCAGAAGCAAAGGTCAGCTTTTAAACTTGACAGAAATAAGAATTTGACCTTTTTCATGATAACTATTGATGCTGAATGATATTAGACTTTTTTTTTTTTAATTATAACATTTTGGGCCCCAGCCGATTCTTTCTGAAATACGGAAGAAATAAAACCGAAACCAAAAGTCTTAAACATCTGTTTTTGATTGAGGAAACCAAATATAGATCTTTGAAGCACGGTGAACTGTCCCATCATATTTTACATTGAACCACAAAGCTTTCAAACCCTATACTTGCTACATCAGCAGTGAGTTGTAAAGAACAGTTTACGTTCGATCTACAAAATGACAGATGAGAATGACTCTGAACTAGTACAAACTTGATAAAGTTGTCAAACAATAATCTTAAAGCTATACTTTACCTTAGCGACGGTATCTTCCACGGCGAAAGCTTTTTGCTGTTGTTTCTGCTATTCTTTTATTGCCGGTTGGCAAGCCAGCTTATATGTCTTACAAGCCCCAGGCACAGGGCATGTGGAAAGGTAATAAACCTGTAAAACAGCAGAAATGATGAGGCTGAGGAAACTTGCTGCCATTGGTCTAGACGGTCTTCCCAGAGTTCATTTAATAAATACAGTAATTTTAGTCATTACATGAAGTCTCTTTTTGCACATCACTCAGTAATATTCAACTAAGTAACCAAATTACATAAAGTGAATAAAATGTATCTAGCACACACATCAATTCATCATTTTCCTCATTAAAAGGGAATTTAAAACTCTCGTAGCCTACAGTGAATGTAAACCTTCGAAATATTAACAAAAAAGTATAATACTTAAATATATAAAAAGGGAATTTAAACCTTTTATATTAACAGGGATAGATCTCTCATAGTTCTTACTGACAGAACCGTTCACTGTCCTCAATTTAATAAACGATCCTGGCAAGATAGTGACATTTTTTTGTAAACAAAATACAAATAAAATACTTCATATGTGAAACCAGCGCCCAGCAGCCGTAAACGTTAATGGTGGACATTGACCGAGGATCGGGAGTGCTAGCTAACGTTTAGCACAGTGTAAGAAACCTATGAACAAACTGCATAGTTCATACTAAAAACAACGTAAACACAACAGATAACGATTGCTATGCTTATTCATCTGTTTTGTGCTTTTATACACCGTACTGACCTGTAAAACAGGAGGATCTCGACGATCTTGCCGGAACGGCAAGACGACGACAGCTACGTCATCAAAACAGTCCCCAACCGGCAGCAGGCAGCGCTCTGCTGCCCCCTACTGTCTGCAGTGGAGTACTTATTTGTAATGTAAAAGCCTTGGAGGACTTGGTCGACTCAACATTACATTTACATGCATGTGGATGGAAGAATTTGAAAGGGGAAAGAGGATTTTAATAGATTACAAAGTATGTCTTCCACAGCAGTCAGACCTTTGGTAACTTAGGTAAAAAAAAAAACACTATAGAAATATTCTGTTGTTTGAGACACTTTCTCAAATAAAGGGAGGGAGGTGCGTGCATCCTGTAGTGGAAGATACATGGTTTGATGGACACTTTTCACATCCAATGGAGATACTTGTTCAATACATAACGTGATAAACCTTTTGAATCATATGTTAAATTAAATCTAAACAATGTGATCACACTTTTTTTTTCTTTTTACAAACTAATATAAACTTTATTTATTTATCCAACTCTTATGCCACAATATTTCTTGCTTGCTTTTTCCCCCTGTTACCATCCCCATTCCCCCTTAACTGAAATAAAAACTAATGAAAAACACAAAGTACTCTGGCTGTTAGGGAGAGCTAACCATTTGTAAGAACTGACCTGTAACTTCAGATTAGACTCCAGCAGCAGCTTGACCACCACCAGCACCACGTCTGTTGTTCTCATTATGGTTATGGGCCTATCTATGAAACCTGGTGAGCATTACTATGAGTTAAAAACTCCTCTAGCTCTGGGGCTTTCAAATATTTTACTGCCTTTGGTTTGATTCTGTTTGATGAATCATCAGGGAAAGGCAATTCTGTGATGTGACAGGGGGAATATCCCTTTTTTTTCCTGAGGTGTTTGTGAATGGCTTAGTGTCCAGATACAGCTTGGTGACCATCTGACTGATGACTCCTCAGATTGTCAACTGGCTGCTCTGGAAAAGACTCAACAGGTGCTTAGATGTTTCTGTTCTGTTTAGAGGAGCTTTTCCACAGTTCCTTTTTTAAAGAACAAACAAACAAACCAAAAAACTACTGTGTTTGTGTCTACTTGTTGTTCCTTGCCAATATTTGACATAACGAGTTTGTTATGCATATTTGATCAAGTGGATTGTTGGATACTTTCTCCCAGTTTCAGCAAATGCATTATCCAAATATGGACATAAATAATAGGAGAATTATGACATTACATTGATAGAGTAAATGACAAGTACAATCATTGTTACAAAAATAGATAATAACATGAAGTAAAGAAGCTTATGAGTTTTAATGACTTTTGGTTTTGTTATGGTCTGAATTGAAAATGTTACATATACATAGATATGTAGTGTACCATTTATGAGGCATTATAGCCTATCACTGGAAGTTTAATCTGTTATTAACAATGATAATACATTATAGTGTAGCTACTGCTAACTGTAAATGATAACATTTCAAAACACACAGGGCTGTCAGGCCTAAAGCTAGTTAATGACAACTCGAGGTGGTACAAATCTCCCACTGACATTGAACATAACCCAAAAATGTTCAACATACCTGATGAAATAGACTTATGGCCTTAATCAGCACATGTATACTCTTTTCAAGTAAACCACCTAATGCAGTGTAATTCATGTTTCGCCTGCAGTAACTGTGGGGCTGATGTTTTTATTAAGTTACATGGTGCAGCTTCATGAATGTCATCTTTACGTTTTCTTAACATAGAACATTTAGATATAGTGTAAGTAGGCTACTAGTTTGGCTAGATAGCCTATTTGATATATTCATATAGCCTATCTTTTTACAACCCTATTCACAGCCATAAGAAATTTAGGGACAGAACCAACAAAGCACCAATGTGCGAACCAAAGTTCATGTTTTGATCCATTTTGATCCATTCGGTTAGTTTTGGTTTGGTTTCACACCTTCTGCGACCACACTAAAAGACTTTACGTGACAGACTTGCGTTCTGTCATCATCATCTAAGTGGGCTGCATCTCCCCACTGCGTCTCCCTGTACTTGACATTGATTGGTTTATTAAATAGGTCGGCAGGTATCTTTGACAAGAATGAATGAATGAAAAATTAACATGTGCATAGGTAGGCTATTTTCGCTATATTGTCATTATTATGGCATTACTACCTGTAGCACCAACTCTACTGAAGGCTAGTTCAAATTCGCAAATACACACCCTCATTGTGCGAATAACTTCTCCGACAGGAAAGGAGAAGACAGCAATCCTTCTGCACCTCCGTTTCAGGAGAAACCATAGGTATGTGTACCCTACATTAAGTCTAACACTTAGTCTAATCATTCTGAGGAATGAGATAGGTAAACAGCAAGTATAATATTAGTAAATATATAGGGCTATTATATATAGGCATTATTTTGAACTGAGTTTTTGAAATATAGCTTCTTATAGCCTATGCTATGCTTGAGACTGTAGCCTAAACTCATTCATAGCGTATGTTGTGAGAAGTGTTTTTTTCTTTTTAGGGAGCTGGAAACACCTTCTACTGCCCTTGAAGCACAGACTGTATTTCACCGTTTTATTGTCATATGTAATAAACAAAGATGGAAAGATTTGCAAAATTGTGTATGTGAGTTATTCCTTTACATCACAATTTACAAATAAAAATATTAAAAGCCAGGTAAGCTGGTCAAAATATTTTAAAGGACGTTAACAGCCTGTGCCTGTTCACCCTGTTGCCATCTAGATAGAAGATAGACATGTTTCTGCTGTCACACCACCAGACGGCAGAAGAGCTTTAAACTCAAGCTACAGTTTTTAGTTTATTTCTGTTTACCATTCTATAATTGTACTGCCTGCTATGTACCAGAAGGGAGTTACAAACATTTCCTTTTACAACCATGTTGTCATGTGACCATTGAACATACCACGTAGGCTAAACATTGCAGTTAGGTAACCTACATGTGGTCATAAGATTTTTAAAGAATAACTATTATTGTATGACTTTCTAAATAAATATTTCCAAAAGTTAGTAATATGATCATATTATAAAGGTTTTTAATACATAGATATTTGACCAGGTGGTTGTTCCTCAGCAGAGTTAGACCAAGGCTATAGCGCATAGGCCTAGCCTAAATAATATTGGAAATAATAATAATATTGCCTGAAAATGGAAATAATCCTAACCATTAACATATTCTCACAGAGAGAAATGCTTTAAAAATGAGACAGCAAGAATGAGGAAACAAACGTGTTTGCGTCACACTTGTTGACGTTTTCGCGGTTTTCCGCGGCTTTTCATTCTCAGTCCGCTCTTTTGAGATGGTAGATGAATAGACATGTCGGAGAGAGGCAGAAGATTTCGAAGAAGAATAAGTGAAATCAGAGACAGAATGAACGCCCAGTTCAACAGAATTTTGAATGAAGACGGACAAGAAGCATCTTCTCTACTTCAGAGGTGAACTGTTTTTTATCATAGACTGTATATAAAAATCCGTTTTTATAGATATTAGTGTAGGCTATGTTAACTGTTACTGGGTAACGTTAAACTTACACCAGACATTCCATAGTATTGCATATTAACGCTAGCATTTAAAAATTGTTGAATTAACATTATTATAATTGTAGGATAACCTGTGCATAAAGTGCATGTTTCTAAAATGCTTTTGCTGTTACTTTACAAGAAAAGTAAAAGTCTGGACATTTAGTATTTGAAAAGACATATTTTCTAAAATGATATTCAAGCCTACAACGTTAAATCTTTTGGGGATGATTAATGTTAGGCCGCCTAAAATACTTTTTTCAAAAACTTATTTCCGGGGCTTTTATCATTTGAATTGAAAGTGTTTCACAAAAGGCGCCTAAAACAACAGGTAACTTAATGGTTACACCAGCTGGCGGCGCTGCAGTCTCATTGACCTCCTTCTGGAGGAAGATGCAGTGTCTTACAAACTTTGTTTCAACGTCCAATATGTCCTACATCTTCTTCGTACTTGTCATATTTTTGTCCCTTTACCATACATTATTTTATTTACATAGTCAATCGGCACAAACAGTGGAATTAAAGATAACCGTAGAGTGCTGTGATCCATGCCTATGTCAGTTAATTCATATTCATCAGTTAATTTATTTGTTTAGGTTAACGTTACTTAACGTTACTTCGGGTGAATATTTTGACTTGTGATGAATCTGACTGGTAAAAACAGTTGATTTATCTTGAACTGTGACTTCATTGCTGCGGTTCTGTTGTCATGACAATAAGCCACTATGTTACGCCATCTCATTTAACAATCGCGCAAGTTTTTGATTATCCTCTTAATGAACAAGATTAACAGAAGCGGCCATTCAGCAAAAGTACCGAAGGCTACAAACTATATATTTAACAAAACATATAGGCATATAATCTCAGATTTTCAAGATTATTAAAAGCGGCAACGTGAAGCACCTTTGAGACAAAGCACAAATTAGCACAAGTAGGACAATGAAATTAGGTAAAACCTCCTTACCTGTCATTTGACAGAATACAATGTGACTAGATTAATGTGCAGATTTTACTTCTGGCACAGGCCATTTCAATTAAAGTAGAGACTTAGAATTCAGAATGTACTGAGAGCAGAACATAGAATTTACTTAATAGTTTTCCTTTTATCATGATTGTTCAACCCAAGATTGTGGAGGTTGTGCAAAGAGCCGTAACATTGTGTCTAGCGGAACCTAATGTAGTTACAAGGAACGTGTTGACAAAGCTTATTAAAGTAAATGTTAGTATTTTAACTGCATTGCCAGAATTCAGTCGGAAATACAGTAGACCTACACCTTTGAAGGACTGCAGTATAAGTAATGTTAATGTTTGTGAGTTGTTACAGTTCATCATATTTTCCGTGTGTATTTTCTACTATTCTGTAGATTCCAAACATTCAGACGAGAGGAGGGTGGCGGACCAGCCCGGAGACGCAGATGTAGCACAAGACGACAAATAACCTTCAGAGTGTCTGTGCTGAGGAGCAGCACATTGACCTGTTACAGGTCTCATAGGGGTAATCTCTGTTTTTATTAGTTTGCTAATTTACGTGGACAGATCTTTGTTAAAAAAACAAAAAACAGATTTGTTGTATAACCAGTTTCTTTGTTTCACCATCTTTTACATAGTGGTTCATGACATTTTGTCTTGCTTGTTATTAGTAATAAGACCTTTGTTACGTTGTTAAAACTTTGAGTAATATATCTTTTTTTACGCAGATGCCACTCCTCCCTGTCGGGTCGTCGTCCCTTTAGACCTTGACGAACAGGAGTTTGTTCAAGTCCTTCAAGAAAACATCCCCGAGTTACCTGAACACTTTGAGCTTTGCCGAGTCAATGGGCAGCGCAGCATAATAGTGTTGGAGGAGCAGTGCCCAAGGGACATACATGCCCAGAATGCCCTAGGGCGCTCTTGTCTCTACCTACGCCCCAAGGTATGCAAATATGTGACACAGCGCTAGTGTTGTAGTTTTTGGTCTGGTTTGTAGTATTTTCGTGTTTTTATTCCTGTTATGTTCTTCCTCTTGTGTTTTTGTTGTTTAGACCTCCCAGTCTCCACATTCTTGTTCCTTGTCCATGATTATATGGTGTTAAGCATACACCACATACATAAGGGTGCAAAATTAAAGACAACATATAACAATATGTTGTCTTTAATTTTGCACCCTTATGTATTTTGTAGTATTTTGACTTCTTGTTTCTTATCTAGCTTTTTTTCCTGTTAATGTTGATTATCTGATCTTGTCTAACAATTTTTCTGTCTTTGGGATTCTGTTTCTGTTGGGGATTCTGTATTTTGGTTCTTGCTGGCCTTCTCAGTTTGTATTGTTGCTTTTTGTTGGATATTTGGTTCATTTCTCAGACTGCCTGCCTCACCTCCATTTAAGTGGATTACCCCTTTTAGTCCTATTAGTTCGCTTCAGATGCTACTTGCCTTTACTTATAAAGATATAAAGTTGTGGCTGAAACTGTATGAGCCTTCACATGCATATTAATGTTGTTCATCATTTCATTTTAGGATGTTATGTCAAACCCCTCCATACCAGTGGAACAAACACCAGCTGCACCACCAATTGCAGGTGGGACAACTTCTCCTGCTCCATCTTCACCAATCTACACCTCTTCTCCTGCTCCATCTCCACCAATCCACACCTCTTCTCCTGCTCCATCTCCACCAATCCACACCTCTTCCCCTGCTCCATCTCCATCTCACAATCATTTCTATATATCCTCCGCACCATCGAGCCCATACCAGGAGGGAACTGAAGAGTAAGTACACATTTTCTGAAGATACTGTAACACCCTTATAGTGCAAGTTGAAGGTGTGACACTGGTTTAAATGATTGTAATTTCAGCATTTTTTCTCTATCAATACAGAGCTTTTGACATCGCTGTGGCACTTCGATCCCTACAATCAAGGGTTCACCATCTGGCTCCCACAGCCAATCAGATAAATGTTCTTCGCAATGAAGAATTTGAATGTGCCGGGTAGCGGGGTAGTGTTGATTGGCTCATCTGTAGGTCATTATTGGCTTGCGTGCTTGTCGGGGGTTGGGGGCATCGGGTGCGGGCCGGGACTGGGCTGGTGTGCGGCTCTGTCCTGTGTGCATGCTGTGCATCCTGATAATTGCATTTCGGTTCTCTGAGGGGTCTGGCGACTGGTTGTTGGAGGGGTGGGGGACCGGGAAGAAGGGGTTGACGGGGTGGGTTGGGGGTGCGGGCTGGTCCTTTTTGAGCTGGTTGGGGGGTGTCTCCTCTGGATTTTAGTGCCCGGACTGGATGCTTGGTGGTTGTGCCGGGATCCTGTGTATGGAGGGATTGTGCTTTGGGGTGTGTCGATGGTTGCTTGCAGTCGCGTCGCGGCCCTCTGGAGTGTGGTCGTGTTGAGTCCTAGGGGCTATTTGCATCTGCTGACTCCCTAGGGCTGAGGGGCTGTTGCTGCTGTCGCGGGGTGATTGCTGTCTCTTTCCTTTGGGGACGGTGGGGGTTTGTGTGTGGGATGCTTCGCTGCTAGGGAGGGAAGGGAGCGGGGGTGGGGGTCTTCTGGCCTGACCTGGCCTGAGTGGCATTGCCTCCTGGGTGTGGGCCGACCTTCGGATCTGGGCTGTTGGGCCGTTCTGTCCTTGGGTGGGGTCCTTGCTGCCCCGGACCTGCTCCCTTGGGGGCTGGTGGTGCTCGGAGTGCTGCTGATTGTGGGGGAGCGATGAGGTGAGGGGTTGGCAGTGGGGCTGCCGGAGGGGCCCCGGCGAGGACGGGGGATTGTTGGACTTTGGGTTGGGGCTGCACTGACCTGCCTCGGGAGTGTGTGGGGGTCTGGGGCACGGGGCTTTGGAGCCTCTGGGTCTGGGGCGGGTCTGCGCGCTGGGGGGGCTGGGCCCGTCCTGGGGATGGGCGGGGTTGTCACTGACTCTGGGGTGCTACCGGTGCTAGAGGGGCTCTTGCTATAAGCCCTGGTCTGGAGGGACCTGGCGTCCTCCTGCTTAGGGGGGTGGGGGACGGGACTGAATAAATGATGGGGCCAGTCAGGAATCTGGTCTTCTAGCCTCCCTATGACCTCCTTCACCTTTCCCCCTTTGGTCATGTCTCACAACATACACCCTTAGGATCCTGGGGGACGGGCAGCCTGCAGGGCGTTTGGGGGGTGGGGCTGCTTTATTGCGGCCTCGCACTTCTTCCTCCCTCACTGCCTGACCCTCAATTTTAATTACACATTAGACACAGAGGGCTTGGGGGGTGGGAGGGGCACGATGGGAGGCTCCACTACCTGACAGTTGTGGGGTGCCTGTGTCACAACTACCCTCCAATTTTAGTTGCACCTTAGTTACCACACACCTTATCTTTACTCCACCATACAACACTTCACAATCCATGACATGCATCCAACACAAAACAATACATTTACAGAGGCAGGCAGAGGGGTTGAAGGAGTGGGAGAGATTCTCATTGGCCTCGTGTCCTACCCCTGGAGCCCCGGGCGTTGGGGGTGCTGTGGGGTTGGTGACGGCCTTGCCTGATCTGGGGTGGGCTGGGGGGGGTCGGGGCTCCCCTGGCGTGGGGGCCCGCCCTTGGCCTAGGGTTCTGCGGACTCGGGCTTGTGGCCTTTGCTCATTTCTGGGTGGGTGGTGTGTCCCTGGGCCTGGGGGCCCGTTGTCTCCTCTCCTCGCCTGGGCCCTCTTCGGCAGAGGTGAGGCTCCCGCTGCTTCCCCCTGCCAGCTCTCTCACGGTGGGGGCATTCGGGAGTCTCTGGGGCGCATGACCGGTGCTGTCGGGGTAGGTTTTGGTGCTCCTCCTTGGGGGTGCTTGACTGGGGGGGCTGGGCCCCTGTCCGGGGATGAGATCGGCCTCGGGGGCTGCTGTCACTGGCTGCACTGTAGGGAGGGATGCCTCTGGCTGGGCTGGGGGACCGTTGGCCTGGTTCTCCCGCGTTATCGCTCCCTGGTGGTAGCGAGCTTCCCGGCACGGCTTTCTGCTGTTCTTCCTTGGGGCGGGGTACAGCTTCCCCCTGGACATGCGGTCTGGGGTCCTTTGCGCTTTGGGGGGTCGCAGGGTGTCCTGGCTTCTGGGGGTGGGGGTCTGCGGTGGGATTGTGGGGCGATTATCGATGCATCTTGATGCATTATACTTTTTCCCTGGGCAGGGTCTCTGGATGGCTGCTGGGCGTTTAGTTTGTGCATTAGAGTCCGGGGGAGGCATTTCCTCGTTGGCTTGGAGGGACCTGTTTGCGTTCCTGTTTTGCTTCGTTGGCCTCGGATCCGTGCTTGCCCATTTCTCTGTCGGCCAGTTGTTGGACCCCTCTGGATACTGAGGTATATAGTTAGTTTTCGGGATGTGCAGTGTGGGTGCGGGGCAGGGCTGTGCTCCGGTTTGTTCTGGGTTTGTGCCTGGAGTTCTCGGCCCTTGATGGATGGGTGGGTTGTTGGTGGCATGCAGCTGAGCTAGTTGATTTTGCCTCGTTGCTGGTTTGACTGGTGTTGCATGGCGGCCGGGGGGCGCGCTGGGCATGGGGGATGTCGGCTGGCGCCGGCGGCCTTAGTTTTTTCCGGCGGTTGGGGGGACGGTGGACTTTTATTGGCGGGTGCACGGTGACCTGTGCGGCGCGTTTGCTGCCGGGCTGGGACTTGCTGCTGGTGTTTCTCTCCGCTGGCTTTCGCTGTCGTGTTGTTCCGTTTGCTCTCTGTCATTTGCCCGACCTCGCACGCGGGATTCGCGGGGGGCTGCTGGGCATGGGTGTCGCCGTGCTCGCGCAGTGTGCGCGTTGGGCTCGTCACTTGTGCATTGGTGTTGATGATTGCGTGGCATTTGGGCATTGTGGTTGTTTGCTGCGCGGCGGTGGGGTGCTGGATGGGGGGGACCACTGGTCTATGTTGCGTCCGCGCCGCGGTCGGTCCGGGCGCTGCTCTTCCTCTTTTGCGTTCCGTCGGCATTACGTTGTCAACTGGCATTTGGGTCGGGGTCTTCTGCGTTTGCATCGCGGTGCATCTGGGAGTCTTTGTTTTTTTTTTTTTTATTTGATTTATTCTTTTTCTTTCTTCCACCCCTATTGGCTACTGGGGTTCTTGCCTGCCTGTTACAGTCGTGGCGTCCCACTCTCTCTAACAACTACATTCTTTAACAGGCTTATGCGCACACACATGTACACACACACATACAGACACATTCACCCACACGCACACAGACACACAGACACAAACAAACTTAGGTTGTCCCTGGTAGAATTATTCCTGATGCCTTTCTTTCAGTTACTTATTTAAATTAATTATTATTCCAGCTCTCGTGGCTGTGTTGTGTTGCTTATTTAGTGTGTGTGACTGTTTCTTGTTTTCATTGTTCTCTTAGTTGTCTTAATATGTCATTAATATGTCAGCTGTTTATTGCTGCTGTTCGTCTGGTTGTCTTTTACTATTATTATTTTTATTGTTTTTTTTGTTTGTGTTTGTTTGTTGTTGTTTTTCTCCTCCCCAAGCCCCCCTCTCTGTTCTCTTGCAGGTTTCGTTGCTTTCTGCAATTGGTGTTTCCCACAGCTTTTCCCTGTTGTCCCCACCCTCCATCCCCCTTTCCCCCTTCTCTTGCAGGTGTTGTCCTTTCTCTGTATAAATAAATAATAAAACAGACAAAGGAGTATTTTAATACTCTCTTGTGTCTGGCACAATATGGTATCCAGGTCATTATACTCTATACCAGGCTGCTGGGCAGGACAGGTTTAAAAAAAAAAAAAGATTTTGAATGTGCCGAGAGAGCCTTCCGGCGACCAGCCTTCAATCCACAGTCCAAGCTGGACATCGTTTTCATAGATGAGGATGGTCAAGGAGAAGGTGCCATCGACGATGGTGGGCCAAAAAGGGAATTTTGTAGGTTGCTAATGCAACAACTCCAGGGGCATCAAATATTTGAAGGGCCTCTTGAAGCCCGTAACCTGGCCCTTGACAGTGTTGGTATGTTTTTTTGTTTGTTTTTTTTCTTTCCAACAATGTCAGGAAACATACTCATTTAATGTATGTCCACACTCCACAGCTTTATTTAACATTACTTTGATCAATTTTAATTGTCTTTCTTTTATAGCTCTTCACAACAACACTTATAGACTTGTGGGCCAAATGTTGGCAGTTTGTCTCATCCATGGAGGGGTGTCGCCACACTTTTTTTCCAAGAGGCTTTTTAATCAAGTCTGTGGTCTTCCACCTAGTCCAGCAACCATTGAAGAGGTGGTAGACCACAGCCTTAGGGCAAAACTGGAGAAGGCAAGTTTGGAAGTCATTACACACTTTACACACCTGTCTCTGGCCAATAAATGTTCAAGTATTTGGTAGTGGCTACTCTCTATTTCCTTTTATAATTTCAGATAAGCAGTGCAGTAGCGCTATAGGATGCAAGGCAGGCTGTCAATGAAGCGGCCGAAGAGTTGGCAATGATGGGAGCCCTACGGCACCTCCGCTCGTTGGACCACAGGGGGGAATTGATGGAAGCTGTCCTCCAGTTCCACTGTGAAGGCCGAATCTATGCAGCCCTCCAACAGTAAGTTGTATATTATAAACAGAAAATGTTAATTGACATCAACTGCAGCAAAGCAACTTTACTAGACCCTTGGTGTTCAAATTACAGTAGTGGGATTTCTCCTTGAGTTGCTATTGACACGTGAAGTCAAGTTATTTTAAATTAACTAATCACAATATTAAGTACACCATTTAAAGTAAATGGTTTCAGGGGAGGCTCGCTGACTGGAACTGAAACCACCATATCACCAAGTGAACATAGAATAGCCTACATGTGTGAGTTTGGAGATACAGTAGTTTTTGGTTCCCCCATCAGAGTCAGAAACTAAGTCACTGTAGTCAGAAGTCATGCATCAGGCTATTTTGGCTCAAATATTAAGTGTCTATGGGATCAATTAATTTAATCAAGATCCGATAGGCATCCAGGAATTAAGCAAAGCTTACAAAGTAAACTAAACTAAAGACTTGGTGGGGGGAGCGCTGTTTCCGAAACTTTGTCTGAGGGGAAGCCCGCAGTCTAAGACTTTGAAAACCCCTTGCCCTAGGTGCATGGTGAGGGAGTATTGGAGAATCTTTAAAGGTGTGAAGAGGCAGGGCAAAGGCAAAAAAATTAATACCACAAATGTGATGACAGCAGGAAATGGTAGTTGGGGTCTGCTAATGTATGAAAGGGCATTGCTATTTTGTGTCACCCTGATGGTGTCTCTCCAGAGGTTGGTCAAGACAATTTTTTTTTTGATTTTTGTTTTTTACGCACACACGAGTACAGACTTGCAGGCAGAAAACGATACAATTAAATTTTTATATACACACACAGTAGTGCCAATTCATAAGTTTATCTCATTGCAGTTTTCACATAGACAAGGTCTAGACCATACTCTTAGTAATATTTACAGAGACCCAGCAATAGTAGAACATGAGGTAATGGTGTTTTACAATTTCTACAATCTTGGGTAACATTGTAAAAGAACAGAATTAAATTATTACTTTTTTGCATCAGATTCAAAGAAGGACTAACTTCACTTGGTTTCCTGGATGAAGTCACCTCACATCCACAAGACTTTGAAAAAGTCTTCCTCCAGGACACAACAACCCTAAAGGCCAGCGACATTGTGGGGGTGTTCCAGGCCAGATGCCGATCCCTCCCATCATCAAATAGGCGGTTGGAAGCCAGGACCATTGTATTCTGGAAAGACTGGCTCCTGGAGGTGGAAGGTATGGGTCCCTGTGCTTATGTGTGTGTGTGTGTGTGTGTGTGTGTGTGTGTGTGTGTGTGTATAGCTTTATTTGTGTTGTCATGTTTTTGGTAAGTCACGTGGATGGTTTCTGTATAGTTCATTTACACACCTGTTTAATGCCAGTGAGCAGATAACAGGTGAGTGAATGGGACGCTGCTGTTTTTTGTTTTTTTTGATGAACGCGGTGTTCTCTATAGTTTTGATTGATTTCTCACTATACGGTTTTCACATTTTAAGTTGCATATTTTCATCAAAAACCTAGAATATTTTTTTTTGAAATCTGCGAATTATGCAGCGAGTCCGACAAACGGCACCACAAGGCCCTACCTCAGCCTCTTGGTACTTTGTTTTTGCTTTTAAGAATAGTCTCTACATTTATCTTACAATCTACTACTGGCTGTGGCTGGCTCCTTCATGAATCCTCTTGCAACATAATTTATTTTTATATCTATATACAGGTGGACTTGCTGGACCAATCACACTGGAGCAGGTCCTAATTTTTGGAACAGGTCTCCGCAGAATCCCAGCAATGGGCTTTTCAGTGCAGCCTGAGCTGGCATTTTTACACCCTGAAGATGGACATGCCAAGTTTCCCCAGGCCAACACCTGCGCGTTGGTGCTACATCTACCCGTGGGTCAAACCTACAGTATATTCAAAACTAACATGGAGCTTGGGATAGGCTCTGCACACCAGTTTGGGTTGGCCTAAATGGTGTCTATTTGTCTTTTCACTTTTGGAGTGAAGTTCTCAGGATTTGTTCATTTGTTCATAGTTGTTTTTTGCATAGCATGTTTGTTTTTTTCTGTTCATATTTTCTGTTCACAAACCTCACATTAGTTTAGTTTTAAAAAAAGAAGTAAATTGTAATTGTCATGTGTTGGTACAAAATTTGTATGAAAATGCTAACTTAATATAAATACAATATTATGTAAAATTATATCACACAAAGTGTAACCTATTTATTGTAGTTGAGTAAAAGTGTGTATATATATATATATATATATACACACACACACACACACACTAGTATTATAGTGCTTTATTTCTTTTAAGAAGCAATTCAATTGTTTGTTTCAAATTAAACTGAACCAATGCTTTAATGGCCTGTTGCCATATACTCCCTCGTTCTGTCCTCATTAACCGACAGGTTTTGCACTTATCAAGTTACTTTTAGTGGCTACCAGTGTAACATTATTACCATGACCAGTTATGAAGTGCCCTAGGTTGTAATTGACAAATTGGGTAACTTTAATCCAGATCCAACTGTTTGTGGGTTTTGTTGTGCCTTTTCATGAAATTAATTATAATATAAATTTAAAATTATGCTATAGAGTTTTCGTTTTTATTAATCGAGTTTCAACAACTGCCTCTGATTGGTTATTCCTTGCCTAAAGTTGGGGTTAGAGTTAGCCAATCAGGCAGATTCGGAGGCAGGACTCGACAGAAAGCCGGTCAAAGCAAAGTGTTTTCAGAACTACGAGCAAAAAGTTACTTGTATACGAAAACTCATCTGTCTAAAGTGAATTTGGATTTCCCAGGTAAGTTGATGTATACTTGGCCAGAACAATGTTTAACGTGGTAAAAAAATAAAGTTCTGTAAGTACGTATTTGCGACTCGTAATTGTTACTGCTCAGTTAGCAGATGAGGGAACGTTCATGCCGCCGCCATTGCTGTAAGTTAACATTAGTTTGAGCATCGGCTTGTAGCCTGGAATGAGATCTCGTGAGACCCCCTCGCTCATACCAGCATTGCGTTATTGTTACAACTAAATGGGATTTATCATATTATGTCAAAAAACATATAGTGTTAAGTTAAACAACATGGAGTTGTGCAGGCAGACTCTTGAATTAATGAAAAATATTAATTACCCTTCATAGCTTTTAGTGGAAACTTTTATTTTGTGTATTTGTAGTATTTTCTTGTGTATTTTGAGAATCTCAGATTCTGTGTACAAGAGGGAAACGGGAACTCTGTAAAGTAATTGTAAACCTCGTGATATTTTTGCATTTGGTCAAAGCCAAGTTGATGGGTGGGTGGTACCAAAGACACAGAAGAACTCTCAGTTGTCCTTCTAAACTCAATTCAGACAGACATCTGAAAGAAGTTATGGCTCGGAGGACCTTCATCTTGCGGTGCAGGCACATTCTTCATGACTGTACACGGCGTCTGTTGATGGACGATGTTGGATCTGGTGTGCAACTCTTAACATTGACGAGGTATGTTGTGATAGGCATGCTCGAGAATGTCAAAGGATGATGCACTCTAAAACTATTAAGTAAAAGGCCCGCACACACTGCTGATCGTTATGCTATATTACAGTATACAGTAAAACAGTCTGCATAGGAATTACATGGTGCCTGGTTATGCCAATATGGCCTATATCTCTGGCTCCCACCTCAATTCCATCACAGGACCAGGAACCGACACTAGGATCATGTTTGTGGACTTCAGCTCTGCTTATATACTGTTAAATTATTACGGGAGAAAGGGTTTAAGATGGTATTGTGTGTGTTTATGTATGTCAACTGTATGTTTGTCTACAACCTAGTCACTATAGCAAATTCCTTGTGTATGTAAAATACTACTTGGCAATAAAGCTCATTCTGATGCCAATAAATGGGTAACCATTACGCTTTCTTATTTTCTCAGGCTAGAGACAATGCACAGAAGCCTCCAGTGGGCAAGGGGAAGACTGATCAATGTCACAGCTGCAGACCAACTTCTCAGCGACGTGGCTGAATTAATTCAGGAGGTCAGAATGTCTTCTCAGCTCACAGTGTGTTGTCTTTTGTAAATTTTATTATTATTCTGTTTCTAGTACTGCAATCATAATGACTATGACTTGAACTGGATATGTAGTTTTTAGTGTTAGCATTCTTAAACTTCCAAAGAATCTATCCTTGTGGAAATATTTGCAATATCGAGTGTGTGTGGCAGCTTTGCAGTAAAAGTTTATTTTACATACTGCGCTTTTGATGTTGAGGTTTCATCAATATTCTGTGCTGTATAAGTTGATGTTAGGTGGCCTCAACTTGTTATGATTTTGGCTAGAAATGGAAAAGTTTCTTTCTCCTATTAAGGTTATGCAAAAGTTATAGAAATACCTCAGAAAGGTAATTTAATAAAAATATTTCTAAAAGTTATTGAACTATATTATACCATTTTAAAAATTGTATTTATTGTGAAGTTAAGCAAATTTGAGGCGCAGGTTTTTGGGTGACAAGATTTGATAGTTTCTGCGTCCAAGTATTCATTAATATAACATAACAATATTCCTGTTGTAGGCTCCGGAACACAACAAATTATTTACAGTTTACACCAAATATTACGGTTTGGATGATCCAAATATTTACTGTAAATGTGACAAATGTGCAAAAAAGGAAGAAATCAAGAAGGGGGCAAATACTTTTTCACCGCACTTTTAAATTTATTTTTAAGTGTGTTTTATTAAAAAGGACCAGACTCGAAGCTTAAGACCTTAGCATAAATGCACAGATATTTGCAAGCATGGCACTACCCCACAGTCCATGTGTTAAATTTAAGCACGTGCCATAGCTACTGATGTTTCGTCAGATAGCTTTTAAACCCAGCTTCATGTCAAATACTGAATTGTATAAATACTCACACGTCACAATTTGTTTGCAATCCACATTATGGTTTACACTACCAGACACAACTGTATTGATTATATGTTGTATATTTTCTGTATATACTATGTACACCTTCTGTATAATGTCTGTAGTGCCTGAGTCAGTAATGGCTGGAAGAAAATTATGTGTGTTAACATACTTGGCCAATAAATCTGATTCTGATGTCATTTCAGGTAGTTTTGGCTACCAGGCACCGCTGGTTTTGAGTGGAGGTAGAGGTCGACCACATTACTGTGTCACTCGGGAACAGCTGTCATTCTTAAGGTCATGTGGCTTCACTGCACCCCAGATGGCAGATATTCTGCATGTGTCTGTGCGTACAGTTAGACGACGTTTGAGGTAAGAGACTAGGATTTCCGTGTGATGTGATATAGTCACGTAAGATTTGTCCTGTAAAAACACACACTTTTATATGTAATGTGTGTGCATATTGTTTGGTCATGATGGACATTAAGAGTAACTTATGATTGTGCTGGATTACATTTCTCTACCTTTTAGACAGTTACACTGCACTCGCGCTTCATTGTATGCAGACTTGACCGATTCTGCCCTAGAAGAACATGTGCAAGACATTGTGGCTGGCAATGACCTAGTTGGTCCTGAGGCTGTGAGGGCATCGCTGCATGCAAGTGGACTCCGTGTGCAGAGAAGGAGAGTGCGAGCAAGCATGATTCGATTAAATCCTGGAGCTGCTGCGCTTCGAGCAGTTCTGCAGAGACCAGCGCGACGGTCTTATCAGGTGGCAGGTCCAAACTCATTGTGGCACATTGATGGAAACCACAAGCTGAGAAGGTAACTACAGCAACAGATTTATTCAGCATTTATTTTGACAAAGAAAAGGAATGTTACATTTAGCTGAACATGTTTGCCATTTTTGCTATATCAATAGCCACCTTAATAATATTTTTTTTTTATCTGGTTTTAGGTGGCGGATAGTTATTCATGGGGCTATAGATGGGTTTAGTCGCCTTGTGGTCTTCCTGCGTGCCTCCAACAACAACCGCAGCAGCACTGTGTTGGACAGCTTCATCAGTGCTGTGATCCACTATGGCATACCCTCCAGGGTCAGGACGGACAGAGGTGGTGAGAACAGCGCAGTCTGGCTGATGATGAACATCTACAGAGGCTTTGACCGTGTACCCACAATCAGAGAATTGAGAGGCTCTGGGGTGATCTCTGGCGTGGACTGACGAATGTCTATTATGACTTATTCCACCATCTGGAGAGCGAGGGCATCATTAATGTTGACAGTGAGAGGGACCTCTGGGCTCTCCATTATGTCTATCTGCCAAGGATCAACCGGGACTTAAACGACTTTACAAATCAATGGAATAACCATGGTTTGAGAACAGAGAGACACATGAGCCCACTACAGATTTTTGTTAGAGGCTGCCTTGAGCAACAGGGCCGACCATCAACTGCCATGCAGGACATCTTTGTGGCCAGAGCTGCTGGTGGTGGTGGTCAAGAAGCTGCTGCTGGAATTCCTAGGACAGAAGAGCTGGAGTTGCTGCTAGACTGGCCAGAAAGACGGATTACTGTGCCTGACATTCACTACATGTCCTGTAATGGAGGAAGTACAAGCACGGTTCGACCCACTCAGTGGCCCCAGAGGAAATCATGGCATACAGATAATCCGTGATCTTGTATCTTTTTTGGATTCAGCGTTGGGATCACAGGGACTTCACAGATGTGTTCATATTTGATCTTAACTGAACTTTCTTTCATGTGAGTCATTGAACTTGCTCAGGAATCCCCAAAAAGGCAGTAGTGAAAAAGAAATGTATTGGGTTGGAGGCAGGGATGCCCATGTAGGGCTTTTGTACTTTTGACTACTTTTTCCACCACTGTGAAAGACGTACTTTGTAATCTATTAAAATTTCTTACCCTATTTTCCCTTTTAAATTCTTCCATCCACTAGATACAACGTGGATGGCACCACTCAGATGACTGGGAAGCCTATCTGTCCCCATCTCTTAAAAGAAGAGCATCACCACAGCAGCCCCACTGTGCGCATCCAGCCAGCCAGTTAAAGAGCTGAAGTTCAAACAGCCCCAAGAACTGAAGGTTTTGCCCAAGAACTTCCACTCACCCTACGATGGACTGGACCACGAGTGATGCCCATCACCAGCTGGAGCCTCACGCAGACGCACACACACACACTGATGTACTTAGGCTATATTGGTTACAGTTGTTCATTAAAATTAGCGTAATTATATTTTTGCATTATTTTTTAAATACCTTTTACTGGTTTTAATGGTTTTAACATAATTCCTAATTGTTCAAAGTATTAAGTCAAATATCTAGTAGTAGTCAAGACTCCAATCAATTGTCTCTCACAAATAGTCTGACAGATTCTTTATCCTGGTTGTTCATAATAATAATTTTGAATGTTGTGTGGTTTACACAGTAAAATAAATTTCAACCTTTACTGATTAAACCGATTTCATTTTGTCATTATCAGCCAACATTATTCACAATGTAAAGATAGCTTATTGATGATTAACATGATTTCAAAACATGCATCTTATTATTTAGCTTAGGTATCATCAGAAGGTATGCTTTCACAAAGACTTCAGGTAACCTTTCTCAAATATGTCCATTTCGGAGGAAAGCAATTCAGCGTTTTTTTAAAACCAAGTATCTTAATAGCCTGCAGATGCCTTTTCAGGATCAGAAGGAGCTTTATTGTCAAGTAGTGTTTTACACATACGAGGAATTTGCTGTGGTGATAAGGTGCTACATGTAGACAAACATACAGTCAACATAAATAAATGTGGAAATATATAAATATGGAATAAGATAAGTTTTTGTAGCAACTTGTATAGTGTAGTGTTTTGGGGTAACATAAATATTATCGCAGGAGTCCGGAAGGATAGCTTTGGATAAATAAATAAAAGCCAGGGAATAAATGACAAGCTGTGTTTTCCCTGAACCGACTGAAACACACGTTTGTGTCAGGTTGCCTTTGGCCTGGATTTAGGATGACATGGTAAAACAAAGCTTTGTAGAAACAAGGGTAGGCTCGCTATCAATACTACACCGACTGAAGGGCTCATAAAAAGACAAATGAGGCTTAAACTGTTCACTGATGACCATGTAAAGATAGTTGTTCCACTTATGGTGATTTCTTACTTTCTTTGTGTTTGTATGTTCTATTTTAGGAGATACTTTAATCTGACAGTGATGATAAATAAAATGCAAATTAATTATTTATGTCAAATTTGATCTAAAATCATCAATCATAGATGTTACAAGCTATAACCTAGAGTAGCTAAATATTTTTAGTAAATGTAGTCAATTTACTTGATCAGTCTGGGACTTTTGTGTTGAGTTTTTCATGCTTGTCTGTGGTTACTTTCTGCCTTTGAGTGGCTACGATCACAGTAAAGTAGATCAGTGCTGAATTAGTGTGGTCTGTTCTTCTTCTGTACTGATTGGGTGACAACAGTTCAAATTTAGTGGCTGTAAAATCCACAGGGCGGAGCTCATTATCATTTTACAAAACGCCGTTTGTTTAGTTAACAAAACAGCGTTTAAAATGGCGTTTTGTTAACTAAACGCCGCTTTTTACGGCGTGCCAAAAGAAAACGGCGTTTTTCGCGGCGTTTTTATACACAAAACGCCGTTTTGTTAGCAAAACATGCTACAAGAGTGACGTTTTTTGGCACTAATGGCTTGCCATATAACCACATTCAGCTACTGCCTACACGTTTAGTTGCCAGTGCCTTGTGTTTCTGCATTTGGGTCTGGTCCTGTCTGTTCCCCTCAATTGGTTTCACCTGCTTGCTTGTGTTCTCAATCTGTGTTCTTGTCTGTACTTGTGTTCTTGTGAAACGTCATCTTTTGTGGTCCAAGAACTGTCCCAATACACAAGTTATCATTTTGGCAAGAAAGGTTAAAAGTTAAAAAGTGTTCTTGACACGCCCATTTTACCGAGGATGCATCAGTTCGTAACTTGTGTGAACTTGACAGCACAGATATCCCAGCATTCATTCCGGCATTCAAGTGAGGGGCGGAAAGAAGCTGAGAGAGAGGCCACAACAGAACATTTTTTAAACTATTTTACCTTATTTCATCGCTAAATCCACTTCTGAGAAGATTTACCGTGAGAAATCAGCTGTGTAGATGTCGAATATTGACAGTTTTACTAAAAATTATGGCGAATCCAAAATGTGCTCAAATGTTTTCGGAGTTGTGACGCTCCACAACTATCAGCGGGGGAAGCTAGCGAGCTAGCCGGCCAGTCAGCTCACAGAGCCTTCAACAGACATGCAGACCACTGCAGCCAACACAGCAAGAGTCCAGCAACAACGGCAGGGTAAAGACCCACAGCTGTATGATAGTTTTAACGTTCGTACCAAGCGGGAAGCTTCTGGTCTACAATATGAAGCCGATGCGGAAGTCCCTGAAACCTGCATTCTATTGAAAATCCAGCAAGGGGCGACTTATGGTTGCAAAAAGAACTCCGGCTCCCTTAGAAATAATGGTAAAATGACCCTACAGCTGAATAATTACCTCAGTAAACACTTTGATAACGAGTTTATGGTCTCAGTCGCTAGTTTCAAGTCAATACAAAATGATGTTGATTTAGTAAATTATGGTCCTATTTATTTTAAAATAGACCATAAAGCAGAGTATGTTTCAGTGCGGGATTATCTGTGATTGACAAGTCGTTACCATGGTGACCTGTCAGGCTAGAGTGACACGTACCCACGGCACTGTGTAAATTTAACCAGTGCCATTGAAAAAGCTTATTAGGAGTTGGCTGTTCACTTTCTCTGGTGAGTACATTTAGTTTTAAGACAAAGTTATCAGCCCTGTTAAAATGATGTGAGTTACAGATGCACTAGCTAGCTAGCTCCACACACGGCCGTTAGCTCCGCTGTATCGTCACTTCCGGCCACTTCCTGGTTGCAAAAACTGGACATGGCAGCGGCCTATATCGGCCAAACTCGAGGCTTCAAAACGGCAGTGGCAACTTTAATTTTGTAAGGTTTTAACTTAAATCAAGAGACAAGCAGATGATGTCCAGAAAAATGGTGATTTACCGAAAAATCTGGTCTTGTGAAACTTCAGGAAAAAAAAACAAATAGTATGAAAGGGGACTTTCTTTGCTTTATTATTATTATTATTATTATTATTATATCCCCTTGATGCCTGAATTTATTTACAATAAAAAAAATTAGGTATGATCCAAATTAGCGACAACAGGCATTAACGAGAAACCAGGGCTTGCAAAAGGTTCCCAGGTACGTCTTAAATATGCGCAAACAGGCATTGGGGGAATACATATGCTATCTCACCTGCAGTCTAAAAGGAAGAGGTGTGATACAAATTTGCGACTATCAGTGTTAAAGGGGTTTTTTAGACATTACATTGTTAGTGTACAGTAGAGTTGCGGTCACAGTATTTGCTTTGTATTTGCTTTTATTTCATATAATTTTTAAAACATTGAAAAGACTAAAATACACGTTTTAAGATAAATATAAAATTAGTAAAATAAAATAAATGGGATAAAATAAAGTCAAATAAGATCGGGAAAGGCTCTCCTCTAAAAGTATGTTTTAAGAAGGGAGAGTTCACTGACTCAGCTGACCTGATTTCCTCAGGCAGGCTGTTCCAGAGCCTCGGGGCCCTGACAGCAAACGCTCTGTCCCCTTTAGTTTTCAGTTGAGACTCTGGAACAGACAACAGACCTCTGCCCGAGGATCTCAAGGTACGTGCTGGTGCGTATGGGACTAAAAGGTCAGAAATATAACAAGGTGAGAGGCCATGAAGAGCTTTAAAAGTAATCAATAGAATTTTAATGTCAATTCTAAAACATACTGGGAGCCAGTGTAATGAAGCTAAAATAGGAGTAATGTGGTCATATTTCTTTGTTCTGGTTAAAAGCCTGGCAGCTGAGTTCTGGACAGTCTGGAGTCGATTTATAGATTTTTGGGTTAAACGGGTGAAAAGGCTGTTGCAATAATCCAGGCGTGATGAGAGGAAGGCGTATAAAATGGTCTCGGTGTCCTTAAAAGTTAACATAGATCGAATTTTTGCTATATTTCTAAGTTGATAAAAACATGATTGAACAAGCTTTGTGGTGTGCTGCTCGAAATTTAAATTACTATCAAACCAAACATCAAGGTTCTTTGCCACAGGCTTAATGTGATTTACTAGGGAACCAGCAGATGGCAGTATTTGATTTGCCATCTGCTGAGACCCGATGACCAGGATTTCTGTTTTGTCTGAGTTCAGCTGGAGGAAATTATATGACATCCATTTTTTTACTTCACAAAGGCAGTTGTTAAGTGAACTCAGCATTCCAGGGTCTGTGGATCTGACGGGCAAGTATATTTGTGTGTCATCAGCATAAATATGAAAAGAAATGCCATGTTTATGGATAATATGTCCAAGGGGAAGCAGATACAAGGAAAACAAAATGGGTCCTAAGACCGACCCCTGAGGCACACCATATTTAACTGGACAGAACGAAGAGACATAGTTGTTTACAGACACACAAAACTTCCTATTTGACAGGTAGGATGAAAACCATTCTAGGGCCGTACCAGAGATCCCCACCCAGTGCCTCAGTCTGTCTAACATGATGTTGTGATCAGTGGTGTCAAAAGCAGCGCTAAGGTCCAGGAGTACCAGGACTGAGCACATGCCTTCATCAGCAGACATTAGAAGGTCATTGGTGACTTTAAGCAGGGCAGTCTCAGTGCTGTGGTACTTCCTGAAACCAGACTGAAACTTTTCAAATATTTTGTTATTTTCCAGTACAGTGAGCAGCTATTTGGACACAATTCTTTCTAGAATCTTTGCAATAAAAGGCAGTTTTGAAATAAAATATAAAAGCTCAAAACCTCGTCATTTGTTAAAAGTGATCTAGTGGTAACCTTATTTGACAGACAGGACCACTTTTGCCTGCCGGATCCCTATCTGTGTAGGGAGCAGCACCGATTTGGTACCTACAATATAATCATCACACCCGCCAAAGGCGAACCCATCACCAAAGTTACAACAAAGATGGATCAACAAATTCTTGGCTGGGTGCAGAGTTGTGCAACCTCGCAGAGGTTTTTGTATAAATTAAACATGTTAATTGTTGAGCTTTCATTATTCTGATTGACAGATTTGTTTTTACTTTGGAGAGAGCCATGTTTCTGCTTTGAGTAAGTTCCATCTCCTGGCTGTACGTTCATATTTAACAGACGATTCTGAGAGTCGTACAGATCTTCTCATCTAACTCTTGGTAAGAAAGCAAATAAGCGTATTTTGCAAAATGTTTGCATACGGTAGACTGCTACCAGGGCACTAGGTTTGATCTCTACAGAGAGTGAGTCAGCCCACAGAGAAACAGATCAGAATCCAATGTGGTGCTCTGCATCAACCTAGCCTCCATCACCTGGAAAATAAAAATAACTCATTATAGACTTTTAAAAAAACATCTGAAACCACTTTGTCCTCACCACAGGAGACAAGGTGGAAATTGTCCATGTAGTTTTAAGTTCCTCAGTATTCCCGTTCCTTTGGATTTCACATGGTCTGTTAATGGACTTCTGTGTGGTATTTTAATATCCCCCTTGCAGCAGAGACTTACTTCCTGAGTAAGACAGAATAAGCATACTTCCCCTGACAGCTCCTTGATACTTTTACTGGTGTGCCACTGAATACTGAAATATCTCAAAACAATATTGTAGGCCTCCTCATATTACGTTACATTACATTTATAGCAGACGCTTTTATCCAAAGCGACTAACAATAAGTGCATTTCAACCATGTGGACATCAGTTTCAACAAATATGCTGAACTGATTCAAGTGCTACAGTTTGAAACAGAGATAGAGATGGTTTTGTTTATTTATTTATATAGCACCAGCCTTGACAGAAGGGTGTGTTTAAAACCACTCAAGTGCAATTTCCAGCATTAACCGAAGCCACAGCTTCCCAGAAAACCCTTAAGGGTCCAACAGACATCAACTGCATGTTTGTTCCTCTGCCCACTAGAGCGCAGAGTGCTAGATTTGAAACAAAGCTCTCTCACAGTCCTTGTAGGCCTATGCTTATTACGTTTCCTGCAAATTGTTATTTGATTGAAATAGGCCACCACCCCGACTCGTTTTTCTCTTATTAATACCATATTAATTTAACAAATCTAAAAAAACGTCTGGCCCCAGGCAGTTTGACTTTTGTGAATCAGTGGCACAAGTTTTTCCAGTTGGCGCTTTTATTCTGAAAGCGTCCTTTCCGGAAGTCCGGTTCTTGTTATTGCAGCGGAGCAGCTGTTCGGAGCCGCACAGTTTAGGTCTCATCACACTGCTTTCGCTGGATATTAGCCTGACAGTTGAGCGTTTCCTAACTGTCTCCCGTGTCTTTAGCCACACATTTAGCGGCTGGCGTTGCTCCTTTTCGGCGGGTGTCCCGTCCCGTTTGTGTGTTCACGAGAGGATGGTTTTGTCAACGTCACAACAAGTCGCCCTGGCTTTCACGGCCGTGCTCTTCACGTTCGTCGTCCTGCCCAGGTTGTTTGGCGTCGGCGGCGGGGCCGGGGCGAAGGAAACTAGATTTGACCCTCGCTACACCAGAAAAGGTAGGACATCTCTCTGTTGTCGCAGTGGGGAATTACACACACCACTGGCGCATGTGCCCAAGCTTGTCACCATGCAAGTTAGGCTATGTCATTTTGCCTTGAGCTCACTGGTCTGCTAACTTGGAATAGCAACGTGCACTGACAGAGTTTTCCAAAATAAAGGTCATGAAAGAAGAAGACGACATTTACATGCTATGGTCAAGTCAGAAGAGAGTTTGTAGCACAAGTCCACGCGTGATTACACACTTTTGTTCAGCGCCATGAACGTCTAATAAACTCCATCTATTAGATAGAAGATAAGTAAAAACAAGCTACATTATCTATAATCAATCATATCTTTCCCTGTAAGGTGTAAATCCGCAACAAGATTAGATGATGCCACTCTGCGTTTTACTTTTTAGACTGCATGTTCTTTTTAGTCCCACACCGGGAAGCCATACTCAGGGTTAAGACATATCACTGGCGTGGATTGGTTCCTCTCTGTTAGGTGTGGTCCATCAGCTATTGGGGGAGCTGAGGCCTGCTGATGTCAGAGGGGACCAAACAGCCACCCCATTCAAGTTCAGTTTGGTCAGCACAAAACCATTACATTTGGCTATATCAGTCAGCTGGACTGGATCACACTTTTAAGAAGGAGCAATCCAAGAGATTTTGTTCCTTTCATAGACCATTGACCATAAAGTAACATGAAATATATTTTGTAAGGATTTTTAATGTTATACATCTTACTGCGCATAAAGGGGGTAATTTGTTCCCTTCCTAATGACCTTAACTGTTCTGGCTTCACAGTGGGGCTACACTGATACACCGTCTTATCTCTCAATATCTTCATTGAAGGACTTGAGGATGCGGAACAAACTGTAAACGCAACATTGACCTGTTAAGTTGACATGGCAAACATTTAGCAAACAGGCCGGAAGCAATGTTGGCATTAATGTGAACTCTTGTTCTGCGTCTACCTGCTGAAATTAATATTATATATTGAATATTCACTTTCATTTTTGGGTATGTTTGGCCTGCTGCTTCTGGAAACTCCTCTATGAGGATTTTGAGAGGGAATCAAAACAGTAAAAGTGTAGTTTGTGAAAACCAAAACAATGAGGTAAAAAGAGAGAGAAGTAGTCAATGCAATAACAACAGTAGGCGTAAAAATTTTTGTGGTACAGACATCAATGAAAATGAATTATAGTGATAGAATTATTGTTACTATGGTTATAGCACTAATAATAATTATAATTGTAGCAGCAGGTGTCAAGCAGGAACATGGGGGCAGCAGGAAGCCCGCGACCACAGATCCAGACCCCTAAGCTTTGGAGCCAGAAACACCTGCAGAAAGAGAGAGAAGGAGAGAGTTGACAAGGGGTGAGAAAGCACAAGACTACAGGAGAGGGAAGAAGTTGACTTAGTAACATGCATTAATGGGATATGAATGCATACTGACAAAGAGGGAGAGGAAGAGAGAGGAGCTCAGTGCATCATGGGAAGTCCCCCGGCAGTCTAGGCAGCATAACTAAGGGACGGTTCAGGACTCACCTGAGCCAGCCCTAACTATAAGCTTCATCAAAGAGGAAAGTCTTAAGCCTACTCTTAAATGTGGAGATGGTGTCTGCCTCCCTCTCATTTGACTCTTGGACACTCTTAAGAACCACAAGTAACCCATATCCTGATAATAGAAAGGAAGCATATATAAGGTGAACAAGATTGGTCCTCCCTGCACAGAACCTTGTGGAACTCTGGCGTGCACTAATGATTCATGTACAAACTGAGATTGATCTGAACAATAGTGCTTAAACCAGCTCAGAGCGGTTCCTTTAATGGCAATTAAATGTTCCCATCTCTGTAATAGGATATGGTGGTCAATGATATTGAATGCAGCACTAAGATCTAATAATACAAGTACAGAGCAAGTAAAGTCCTTTGTCTGATGCAATTAGAATTGTAATTTTTACCAGTGCTGTCTCTGTGCTATGATGCACTATAAATCCTGACTGAAAATCCTATTTTCTAACTATTGCTCTGTAGAAAGTCACACAGCTGTCTTGCAACTGCTTTCTCTCCCTTTTATGAAAAGCGCTCAGAGATAACTGTTGTGGTTTGGCGCTATATAAATAAAATTGAATTGAAGGATCTTGGCGAGAAAGGGAGGGTTAGATGTATTCGGATGAAACTCCTGGATCAAGAATGGTCTTTTTAAGAAAATGTTTAATTATTTTAAAGGACTGTGGTACAAAGCCTGTTATTAAAGACAGATTGATCATATCTAGTAAAGAAGTGCTGACTAAAGGTTAAGCTTCTTTAAGCAGCCACAGAAAGTGTGAAGCAAAGCAACAAACAGAGATGCTCTTTGAGCTAGAGTCCAAGTCAAGTCTCTCGTGGTTATAATGAATCTTGTATCTAGGGCTGCAGCTAACGATGATTTTAGTACTCAAAGCTTTTATAGATTATTTCAACGATTCATCGATGCGTCGTTCAAGAAGTACTTTTGCTTGGCTTTCAGCGTCGGCTGATGGCCGTGCAGTTCACACTACACAACTTGCCATCTTGCGATGGGAGTCTTGAAGTCGTTGTGGCGTTCACACTACATGACTGATCTGCTCTGTCACCCGACACTTGTCTCCAAGCCACGTTTTGTCAAGAAAACATACATGAAATGAGCGATCTGCACACGAAACAGCTGTTTGTTATTATAAAGATAACAGTTATAAAGACAAAGAATCTGGGTGACAGGATGGATTAGCACACGCAGGTAGCAGGGATTGTCTGAGATGCAGAGAGAGCTGGAGGGGAGTTAAAAGGTGCAGCTCCCCGACACCCAGTTAACTCTTGACTGTGAGGTTACAACTCAAACGCACGTGTGCATATTTTCAGCTAAGGACTGCAGCTTACTTTGCCTTCAACTCAACAATCAGTCATGATTTCAGTTAACTGCTAAAGTTGCTGTCACTGTTACCTTGTCTGTGGTCCGCTGGCAGAACACCAGCTGCTTTTTGTTCCGGTGCCGCTGTGCTGTTGCCAAGACGGTAACATTACAGAGTTGTTGTTTTCTTTAGCTTGAAATAATACCACACTTTGGAGACTTTCTTCTTTTGCCCTAGCTGTTTTCTCTCTCTTCCTCCACTTTGCAAACAGCTCCATCATATTCACGTCGTGTTCACAGCGTAAGCGCGATGTGCAACAGTAAGAAATGTCCATGTGAAACAGTGTGCTGTATAGTTACATGGATTAAACGAAGCCTCGATACAAAGAATTTGCCTTGATGCATTTTATTACACACAGAGAGCTGTGATCAGTAGAAGAAGCACACAAAATGACAAATAAACAACAACGTGGGGCAAGCTAAACGTTCCGCTGCTGAAACGCATGGTGGACACACCTCCTGTGTGATTCCGGCGTCACGGTCGGGCTTCATTTTCTACAGAAACCTCACCATCTGTCGTCTGTTTTGTCCTCCTGATGTATTTGCAGCAGCAGGTCCGGGCCCGGGCGCAGTCAGAGGTCAGCCCATCAACGTGAACGCCCCCGGTTCAGCTCAGACCCCTGAGAACATGCAGCAGATGAAGAAGCTGATGGAACAAGAGCTGAAGAGTGACAAGTACAAGTCCAACAGCAACAAGGGCTACGTGTTCACACTGATGCCCCTCTACGCTATCGGAGTTGGAGTGTTTGCAGCTTACAAGTTTTTGAAGGTAAGTAAAGACACCTGCAACACCAAATTACACTGAGGGAATTTACATCTTTGATAGGCGATCTCTGCAAAGTCTGTATCACTTCATTCTTTTCAACTCACAGATCAAATCTGCAGATGACGAGGCACAAAAGGACAAGTTTGCAAAAGGAGCCAAAAAATCAGTAGAGGCAGGTGTGTATCGCACGCATTGGGTTTTCTATTTGCATATCTGTGTTTTCTTCGGTCAAACAGATATTTGTTTACCATGAGTAATCCTCTTGTGTGTCTGTATGTTTGTTTTTGTACAGAGAACCAGTTGAACGAGCTGGAACAAAGGCTAGCGCAGACGGAGAGGATGCTCAACTCCATCCTCACCCAGCTGGACCCGCTCACTAACTGGTGAGTAGGGCTCCACCTCATCGTTGTAATCCACGTCATTGAATACAGAAATACGTCGCGCGTCGGTGCGTTGCAGTGAAGTGCTGTGCCCGGTCTAAGCAGGGATTCCTCTGGAGAAAAGCCGCACCTGCAAAACTTCCCCAAGTGTGATCACCTAACGTTTGGGTGTATTTTAGACAGAGACCCAACAATGTGGTGCTCTGTAATCTCTGAAAATTGGAAATTGCTTCACTGCAGCACAACTGTTGCCTCATAACAGAGCACTTTTCCAAGACGGCAGCAAGACAGCACCGCAAATTTACTGTTTGTCCCTGCACAAGCATGAAATATTAGGATTATCAACATGAGGAACAGGTTTCTGTTATTAGTAGTCTCTTAAAATTGATTTTCTTCATTGTCACTTAATTGTAAAAGTAATCTCTGCATTGCTGCTGTCATGGTAACGTAACGTTACACCATGTGTCATCTAACCTTTGGCTGTTTTCTGTATTCTGTTCTTTTTAACGCCACGCATGAGTGAGAGGAAGGCTCACTGAATTGAAGTGAGAAAATATTACGTTAGTTATCAAAAGGAGATCACATACAACAGCCTGAATGTGTGTGATTTGGTTAAATAGATACTGTAGCTCAGAGACATGATAGGTTTGGGGATTTTTAACTCACAGAATCAGGAACTAAAACATGACTTAGGACCAGTGTTGGGAGTAATACGTTACGAAAGTAGCGCAATTGACCCAAATACGCTGCTGGCCAATCACAGCGCAGTATAGGACTCTTTCTAACTGAGGTTAGGCTCCATTGACTCGTATGTAAAATCCGTCGCTTTCTAGCTTTTTCTTTGCTGTATTTTTCCAAGATATGGTGAAACGCTGTCCCATTGTTGAGTGTCTGTGGCATCAAATAACATAATCATGAACTAAGGGAGGGTGGAGAAGTGCATTTTCCCAAGTATTGTCTGACGGTAGCCCCACAGTCTCACTTTGAAAACCCCTGGCTTAAACTAACCTCACAGACTTTTGTTACAGGCTGTGGCTGTCTGTACAGTCTGTAAATCATTTCAGTTATTTTGTCCCACACCGATGCAAAAACACATTTGCCTGTAATTGTTTTATTGCATATAACTCTAGTGATGAAATAAATCCATTTAAGTCAAGTACTTTGGTAAAAATACAGACGGGTCCACACAGAGGTCGCTGCTGGAATGAGCGAGTTTCATTTTGTGCACGCACATATGAAAGCATGTTCATGCGCAATGTGGTTAACTTACAGAGGTAACAGACAGAGATTCATCAAAGTTGTAAACATTTGCAATTTGTGGGACCCTACACAGTATGCATAGTGAATGTATTGAGCGGTCCGGCTCTGACAGTTGTGGTTCTGATTATGAGCCTCACTTTTCTGTCCACTACTGTCCATCCTTATCTCTTTTCTGTTAGCAGCCTGCAGTATAAATAAGATTGCTGGCAGTTACCCTTGTATTTTCTGAAATACTATAATGCCATAATACTGTTTCAGACAGTAGAAAATATTATCTGAAGACTTTGTAGTAGAAAATGATAATGTCCAGTTCTTTCCAAATTTGGGTGTTGCACAAAAGACAAATTATTTATATATATATATATAGAATTATTTTTGTGTTCAGTCCTGGCAGACATTTTATTATAAGAATAACTTACTTTGTTTGGATTTTAGTGTTTACACTGTCATGAGAAGTTATTCAAATGTAAATGTAAATGCTCTGTACTTGTATAGCGCCTTTCTAGTCTTTTCGACCACTCAAAGCGCTTTTACACTACATCTGCATTCACACACATTCATACACTGAACCTAAGTGCTCAAACGGAAACTAACATTCACACTCATTCATACACTGGCGGAATAGCCGCCAGGGGCAATTCGGGGTTCAGTATCTTGCCCTAGGACACTTCAACACGCAACCAGGGGGAGCCAGGGATTGAACCGCCGACCTTCCGATTAACGGCCAACCCGCTCTACCTCCTGAGCCACAGCCGCCCCTCCCTCTCCTTCAAAGGAAGGACTCTTGGCGAGAAAGCAAATAAGAATATTTCCCAAAATGTAGAACGTTTTTTTTTAAAACTTGCGGAACTTTTGTTTCTCTCTTCTGACGGTGAGAGTAATTACACAAGACTGTCAACACGAGCTTATGACGTATAGGCTCTGCTATACTGAGGGGCTGCTGTCTCTGTGGTTGCTACCCCCTTCAGCTCTAGCAAACCGATCACTGCTGGTTGGCATAAAACACATCACTACTGGTTTGCCAGAATGTCGCCACAGACACCAGATTTAAAAACTCCTAATACACAGAGATTTACAAGGTGGTTTACCCAGGATTTTAATCTACCTCATCCAGGTTTTTGTTGTATATAAGTTGTATATGTAACTGTGATTTTTATTGTAATTTTATGTATTTAGCCAACAAATTAACCAAACAATCTGTAAAGCTTACTAGCCCACTAAGCTA